TTCATTAGTGTTACCCACTACACGGCTGTGCCATCCTGTGTTGTATTGACTGTAAGAGATCTCTATTTAAGATAAATCTATCTTTGTCATAACATTGTCTCTAATTAATATTGTTACTATATGTAAAAGTGCATTAAAGAATATATAGACATATATATATTGGGTCTAACTTTCCGGCGATGGAAACACCAGTAATTAACTTAATGCAGTTGACGTGACTGGATGGCTCAGATCGTGGGATCTGTTGGATTCGATAATATAAAGGCTGTCATAATTATTGCGTTTATACTCATTACTTACACTCATTTAGGTTATCTTAGATGAGATAAAAAAAGGTATATTATTATTATTACTCTGTTATGTTTTGTATTTAATTACACCGTTTTTTGGAAATAGTCCACTAATATTCTGTATTAAATAGATTTATCATAATTTAAAGCGGTACAATATTTCATTAGTCTCTAGGCACTGGCTGGGCGTGGTCTCAGGTGGGCGTGGCAAGAACGGAGCGGCCCTCTAGTGCCTCCCAGAGGCCCGAGAGGCTTCGAGAACTTGTTTGTTATTGTTGAAATACTGATAGCGCTAGCGAAATCAAATTATTCGCCGCAAACAATTAATATGAGCAAATGCGATATTAGTTATACATGTATATATTTTACGCAATATATAATAATATAGATTTGAAGTTGGAACCAGTTGCTATGCGACTACCTACTTTTATAATAGCTATAGGTTATGTATCCTCTCCTATAACTATGTATAAAAGAGGATAAATTGTCTTTACAAATAATGTCATTTTTATATAAAACTAGCTGATCCCGCGGTATTACCCGCATGGAATTTATAGCCTGCATTAATATTATGTGTAAGCTATATTGTTGTAAAATTTCATTAAAATCCATTCAGTAGTTTTTGTGTGAAAGTATAACGAATATCCAGACTCACAAACTTCCGCGTTTATAACATCAGTGAGAAAGATAATAGGTATTTACCATATGTAGGCCTCTCACTTCATTTTTCCACTATACAGCTATGCATGTTGCTTCAGAAAGAAAGGGCAGATATGGCAGTTAAATTAGAGGGTAGGTATGTAAATAACAACGTAGTCAAGAATTGCAACCACTGGAAGGTATCTGATGCAATGTATTTTGTAGTCAACTGCCGTTACTTTAGATCAGGCTTATTTGCCATTAAGAATTCACAAAAAAAATATCACATTACTCTAAACACGAAGTAATATGAAATTAATACTTAGGAGATAAGCTTACCTATATATACCCACCCTGTATTTTGGTTATATTAATTGCACTAGGGATTTGGATATAAACTACATATATCTACAAATTAAAGCACATTAAAAACAATAATGAGAAAAAGAGAAATAGAATAAAAAAAACTGCTACTACATCGTCTAAGTAGGTATTTATATCTACATATATTTTTTTTATGAAACTATTATTTAGGCAATATTTTTGGTTCTTATATTAAGTGAATTATTTGTAATTCCTAATTAGAATGAATATCTAAAACGGAAGTAAAAAAAAACATTCATTCTCTAATAATACAACATATGGTGCTAAAATATACTTGTTATAGTACTTGTTGAAATATATGGTACGTTTTGTGCAGACTTACCAGATATTTCAACGAGTACTACGTATGTAAAAAGAAGTCTGGATGTTCAAGACAAAAGCTGAAAAGTAAGCCACGAGCACGCAGAAAGAAACGTCCCAGACTACATTGAGAACTCGAAAATCTTGAATCTTGGGAAATCGCCAGTCAAAGATACAGAATTAGAGAACGTAATGACTATGATAATGGGTGATGTATAGTAGAAGCAAGTATCATGGTAGAGTTCGTACTCTACTATGTACACGTGCTTCAACATCAGTGAACATACTTGTTAGTAACCTCGTGATTACTAACAAGTATGTTCAGAATAGGGGTCTTTATCCCTGACGAAGAAAATAAAGTTAAGATGTTCCTTATATACATATGGTTTACTTTTATAGGTGCCACATCCGGGATATTTTTTATTACCAAATTTCCTTGGAAGACGTTTAACGTTAGTTATATTTCAGTCCAGCAATCACATCATTCTAGTCTATCGTTAATACCCCTATGGTCTGAAACATGTTACGATCACGCTGGACATTACCAGATTGTACTTTTATTTACTTGATTGTGCAATCCAGTAAAAGAAGTAGTATGTACATCATTTCTAGTAACCCAATAAAGTACTACGTTTTTTACAGAGAATATAGTTTTCATAAAAGTCAGTAATAGTTGTCATATTTATATCTGTAAAACAAAGAGGACCTTACTACAATAGATGTAGAGTAAACTTTGTGGTATTTAATTATTTATCTATCTTTATAATTACAAAAAACATTGAAATGACTGTTTGTATTTTTTTATTATCAGCTTTTCATTAAATGCTTAGTATGCAGAAATTACATAAAATTTAATTTAAAAAAAAGTATGTCTTTCTGTTTGTTCTTGCTAATCTCTTAAATGCTTAGACCTATTTTGACGAGACTTTTACTTGAATAAAGCTAATATATAAAGAGAAACCTTTACTTCAGAAATTTTATTTAATATAACTAAATACAAGTTAATAACAATAATTTGAATTGGACAATTCACACAGCGCTAACAAATTCCAAATAAAAATGTACTATGAGTATCTACTAAACAATTGATAGAAATACTATTTTTGGGAACATAGATACTTACTATTCATATAAAACATCCAGACTAATACAAGCACGGGTACAAAGCATATTCATGAATACAAATTCCAGTATCATCTGAACATTAAATCAGGGACCGGTGAAGGTAAGGCGGTATGCTGAATCGATAGCTACCCAGGCTGTCAAATCTATGTTTAGAAAAAAAAATATTGTTATGACTTTGATACACACAACTATAATTCTCATTGAATGTTTTATAAGATGGATTAAGAATATAAAGTTTATTACAGCTTCTTTTATTTCCAGAATGTGATGAGAACTGACATTAATTAAAGAAAAAAAAGAATAATTTTTTTGTGAATTTATCGTTATTAATTAATAACAAAGAGCAACACAGTCCATTCGTCAATAATTCATAATCACAACAATCCATTAGAGTTTATTTAAGTACATGCCACGATTCTCACATAGACTCATACATACTACATACACTCCTAATGTATAGTCGACGTATATAGGTATAAGTATAATCTATATACTATAGTTGACCAGACTAACTGGATATCACTTCAAAATGAATCAATATGATGAATTTCATGTATTAATATAAGAGTTTTTATTAAAATAAAATGAATGAATACTTTAATTAAATTTTGCTCAATAATTATATTTATAGTTCAAAATAATCCACAGGATCTCAAAGTCTATGCGCACACAAAAATAATACCTATCTGTTGATTCGATTTCGGTACAGTTAATAAATAATTTCATAAAAAAATATATAGAATCGAATATAATGCAATGACTTAATAACAATTAGTAAAACTTCTTGAAGGCGAGACAAATAAACAAAATATTGTTCAAAATCAATCAATCCGTTCTCAAGGCATTATAAATACAATTAATACATCTATGAGATTTATATATATATTATGTTTTCATAGCATTTTTGTCTTTATTTATTTTTAGTTGTTTTTCTGCTATTCACAGTGGAGAGGAATCCAAGAGATCGTAATATACAGCCGTTCTTAGATGGTCAAAAATTTAATTAATAAACTTGATTAACTCTACCCATAGCAATTAGAAAATCCTTTATTCAGAACAAAGTTCGAGTAGATTTCGACTTGTCCTGTGTTAAATTTATCACACAGTACCTATCGTAGTGCAAAGCAGTGTCTCAGAGAACCCAATTCCTTCAAGTTTTAGTTCTTCCCTTTGTCTCAAGCAGGTTGTAGTCTTACATAAAGTAGAGTAGATGACTCAAAATTGCCTAGTCCCAGATATTTTTTTTAATTTCAATCAGTTGCTATAATATATTTGTTTGTCCCTGTTAAACAAAGGGAAGTTTACCTACTATTGAAAATATTCTAAGTTTAGGATGAATCGGCTTATTAATTGTTTATTTATAATTTAATTACGTGATAATAAATATATATAAACAATAGTTCTTTGTTTAATGTATGGGCATTTATATACTTATAGTAATACCTAACTTTATTTCTGATAATACGATGTTATCTGATGAATAGCATAGCAACAGCACTAACAAGAGACATTTATGAACGTTCTCATAAGTACAACGAACTCTACATTATAAATTATGAGACGACAAAACCTCATCTCGCATGTAGTTAAAGTCAATTCCCACTGAAATTTCATCATCGTCAATCTAACTTGGTTTAATAAGTAATACTTTCAGCGCTGTGGGCCGTCCCAGAGCTGAGCCCGGCTGGTCCAGAGAGATGCTGTGCGTCTCATGTATACGGCCATCCCTTACCCGCGCGTAGTAGCGGTGGTCTCAAAGGGAAACCTCACAAGCGATCCGCCATTACCATAACCCGCGTCGATAAATTCACACGTGTATACATCAGTTCGTATTTAAAAAATTAGAACCTAACCAAATCGATTAATTTACAAAATGGAATCTTTAAATTTTGAATTTGGAATATATTTGAAGACAACTGCAAGTGGCGCCACCTGCGGCGTTGACGCCGTCCCGCTCTTGAGGCGAGGGCGTGTCCCTAGGGCGCCTCCCACAGTCCGCGGGGACGGACGGGGCTCGCCGAAGCCCGGGCACTCGGCGGCGCGCTCCCGCGACGCTTGTTAGTGTTCCGCAAATCCACAGCGGGATCGCTCGCACAACCGGGACTCGATCCCAGTACGCACACACGATAATACAGAGCCGCCTACCGGATAGTTGAAAAGAGTTTCGCGATAAGTTTCTATATCGGTATTTAATTGCAATTTGAAAAAAATGCATTTTATAACTTTAATTTAGAAGTGATACGAACATTTAATTGTGTTCAAAGTTTTTCTTATTTTAATAACTGTTACATAGGTATATTATATTCGAGTATGAAGTTTCGAATATAGACATTAAAATATATTTTACATCATATAATCTAATAAAAGTATAATTCTGTGGGCATTTTATTCGAACAGAAGTTAGATTTGAAACGTAACTTTTGAACTTCGCAATTTTCCGTTGGTGGTCGTGCGCTTTCGGGCGCCTGGTTGCGGGTTCGCGTAGTGTTTCGAGATTCGGTCGGACGAGTTAAACGCGGCGGCGGGCGGGTACACGGGCTCGCCGTGGCCGCCGCTAGAACTAGACCCCGTGGGATGGGGCCGAAAGCTGTACCCATCGGGGGCACCGAGGTCTTCAGGTATGTAGAATAATTTGTAAATATCACTAGTAGAACTTTAGTCATGTTCGAGTCTTTTGTAATACTTACATATTTTGTTATTTCCGATATAAAAAATATATAGTGTAAATTAAAGAAGTATTTGGATTTCTATACGAATACTTTAATTTAAATATATGTTATATCTTTGGAGCACGTCTGCGTAGCTTATAAATCTAAAAAGTTTGTCAGGATGGATGTAGAGATATCTGTTTATTACTCTTTTATGTAAAATCATATGGACTCATTCAATTAAAATATGGCACACAGGCGTATTATATTTTAGAAAAGAAATCGGATATTTATCATTAGAATTGATGCAGACAATATCAGGATAATGTAATGAATAAAAATATTAAATTCTAAAGAATTTATACATACCCATTGACTTATAAAGGACATTTTTAATATTAATGGGTTTAATTACGATTAGAATTAGTAAGTAGGTAGACATTTTTTGGAATATTGCGAGTACCAGAATAATTTATATTGGTTTTATTCATTACTATATTTTTTATTTTAGCCGATTAGTTTTAGACTGGGCTAACGTCAGCCTGTTTGCCATTCAAGGTATATATAAAAGAAATAAGTAGATACTTTACATCAGTTTTTTAATACAGGTGGGCTCATGTTCGGCCTCCATCATCAGGAAGCTGCTGGAGGTCTTCACGCGCAGCCACGAGGACCTGTCACCTCGTTGAAAGAGGAACCTCTGACGCGTGCGTGGATGACGCCCACCTCGCTAGTTGATAATACCAAGTAAGTGTCTTGTGATCTTGAATAATACTCTAAAATTAATTTATCTTCGGCGTGGAATACAATAATAAATAACTTTAAACAAATTTCGGTTCAGTAGAGTTAGTCAATTAGTGTACGGAAAAATCGCGACTTCGCGAAATATAGCACTCATGGTGAGTGCTATGTTTCGCGAAATCGCGATTTTTCGTAGGACAGTCTAGTGACGGTAGTTGAAAAAACTACTGGCTCCTACCGACCATTGACTACAAAGTTAATCGTGTTAAGACGTAAAGGTAATTCGTTAACATTATTTTGACGTTTTGGAATGTTTAATATAGTGGATGTAATATATGAGTTTGTGATAGTAAATCTATCATATATTACCGAAAATTATTACACTCAAAACTGCATCGAAAAGAGCCTCCTTTTTGTAATACAGCGTATTGATAATCAGTACAGTAAGTTCGCTGAACGAATATTATAAAACTTGCATTATTAATCTAACAAAAGCAGACAAAGTCGCGGGTAACAGGTAGTGTTACATAAACATTTACACACTGTATAAACCTTTTAGCCACCGAAAAGAGCAGTACCCTAAACTTATTATGAACACCAAAATTGCATTATAGCCTTTACGAATATGAGCAAACCGAAACGAAATGTCTATACGGGGTGACATTTCTAACTGGATTGGATAGGATTTATATTATTTTAGAAGGGGAACAGGTTGCGGTGTTGCTTAGTCTTTATTTTCTTTTTTATTTGTGGTCACCATACCTATATTAGAGTTAGTAATTTAAATTATTTTAAATATAACATTTCAATACATCTGTTATATTTTACTACAGAATTTCTGTTTGACCAAGTAGTCACATTTTTACATCCTTGTACTTAATAAGTAATACAATAAATAATAGTTACAAATAAATAAAATTAAAGTGTCTATTTGTTAACTTTAACAACTTTTCACTACATGCATATGACAGTATGTACCCGTCTGTATATATACGAGATGTATGTCTGTTTATTCTTACTAATCTCTGAAACAGCTGGATTGATTTTCACGGGACTTTCACTCGTAGATAGCTAATTTTATACAAAGTAACTTATGTTACTTTTATATTTAGAAAGTTCATTTATTTTAATAAAAAAGTTATACTTCATGCGGTCGAAGTCTCGGGTAACAGGTAATAAGGTAATAAATATGTATGTTTGTCTATTTATTCTTCACGTTTCTACTACTAAAATTTCGTATGAATTGATATTTTAGTTACATCAATAATAAAATAATATTTAATTAAAAAATGTTTCTTGACACATTTTATAGGTAAAGTTAATGTTAATTGTGTGAATAAAACAGATGAGAGAGTCCAAAAATTACGATATTGTAAATATGCATAATCATATATAAACGTATAATCAACAGACCAAATTTCCAAGGAGGTAAATATCATGTACTCCGTTTATCTATTTTTTACATATAATAAAATTTGATCGCTCTGATCGCTCTGACATGAATATACAAAATAACAATTATTAGGAGAGTTTATCTATAAAATATTATTATTAGACAGATAGACCAAAAACTATTATTCTTAGAATTTTTGTCTGCTTGTCTAATATAAAATACATTAGGGAAGGTAAGGATAGGAAAGGTTAACTAAAATATTTTATTCCAATCGCTCACAAACTGTAAAATCTCAAGTTTATATATTAGCAAAAATTTTTTGTGTTACTAACGCTAAATGTCATAGAATAGAAAATTCTTTCGGTATTCAAATTAATTTAATTTAAGTTTACTTTTTAATAGAATATATTTTTTTCAATCTACTGCTTCAAGTAAGCTCCATCACAAGGACAACGAAAAGAAATTTGCATATTGCTCTATTAGGTAATCGTTGTAACTTTACATTCACTATATAAGTCGTAATGTTAATACAAACTACTATGAACTAGCATACTGAAACAAGACTAGATGTTTTATTACTATGTGCATACCAACCGGCAGATATTCGCACAATGCATTCATTATCGTTGGGTATCCAATCAGGGGCGGGCACATATTTCGTACGGGCGATAATCAACCGCGTCGTAACAAGTGTGTATTCATAAACGCAAAGGGCGCGATAAATCATAGCGCGTGGTGCGGTGTGCGGTGTTACCGCACTTTGTTTGTGTGACTGTTCCTACAGTGGGGTTGAATCTGTACTGAGAATACTATTAGTATTGTTGTAATATAATAAATATATTACAATTAAATTAAACTTTGACGGCATCAGTAATCTAGCGGTTTAGCTCACCGTCTTACTTCCGATGGTCGCGGGTTCGATTCCTCGTACGGAACAAACATTTGTATGTATCGGTATGATAAGTATGATTGTTTGTATCGATCTGGGTTTTTTCTATGTATAGTATGTATGTATTTGCATTAAAAATATCTATGTATTTATAACAGCTAGCTACCATAGATACCCATAACACAAACTCTGCTTTGCTGGGGACTAGATGGCGCTGACGCTAGTGAGAATTATACTGAGATATTTCTATCATTATTAATTACTTTTTTATGGGATTGAAAATTCAAATTACCTTTATGAAAGTATTGATTGTATGTTTTGGTTAGTCGAAAAAATAGTATATTTACAAAGACTTAATCTTAATATTATATATAAATACTTACTATATATAAATCTTATATAAATACTTTATCTAGATAAAGTATTTTACTTGCTTGGCCTAACGAAAATGTGGGCGAGTGCGGAAGGCACTTTAAACCTAGAAAACACTTATGGAGCAGTTAAAGGTACCAACTGCTATGTGACGGATACGACTTTAGTCTTAGGGCACTGCTAAGAGTTCAAAATACAGTTGATCCTTGTTGAAATAGAAGAGCCGATCGATAGAGGGATAGGGGATCGATTATTTAAACATAATGATTCTTAAATAAACTCAGACATTTGGTACCTCATATTTATAATATGAACAATTTATGATGATATACTTGAATTAGTACGTATTGTGTTTGCAGAGAGCCCTCCCAACATCTGTCGTGTTTTACTGAGTTTACTACGACAATGTTTGCGTTACTCGTGTAGCGTTTACTTGCGTTAGGAGGATGGATTTTTTATTTAATTGATTGCACCTTTTTGTATATTCATAGAGTTCCGATCTTATTAATTATTTAATAGATTGTTATAATAATATAAAATGCGTACATATAAAAACACAAATTATGTAGGTGTATGAATATGATCATTTACGTGGTGATAACGTTTAGTTTTTAAATTTAGTTAGCTAGTTCGTCATGTCAATATTGAGATGATGTAGTCGATAGGACGCTGATATACTATTTTAATGAATGTATGGTCCTATCTTTAGACTTATAGTACTTATAATACGTTTTTTCTCATGTATCCAATTCTCTATAAAAAAAGGTCGAAAACAGTAAAAAATGTAACATTTTTTTTTATTGTCACTGTAAATTTTTTTATCATTTGCTTTGGTAGTGAAATTACATATTGCGTTCATTTCGCTTAGATTTTTATAGATCCAATTAACACAATTGTAATAAAGTACAAAATTATTGTAAAATTTAAAATATACACCTAATTTTATTTTATATATAATTATGCTGTATCTACACTACTGTGTTAAATAAATTATTAGAGAGCAAATATCTAGATTTATTCGTCATATCGGTGTAGTATATAAATAGCTACGAATAAACAAAAGCGTAGACGGAACATAAATTAATTACATATCAACCGAGCCCTTTCTCTTGTAATTTCTGTAATTAAACTAATCGCGGGCAGTCATCAGCTCATAGGATGACAAATGTTGACAGATAGCCAGCCGACGGCGATGACAGACTCATTTATATATCTACTGCTCCGTACTAAATCATTAACTCGCCCCCACCCTTGATTTTACTTTTTAATAAATTACATTTTGTAATGTTACCAGCTCTATTACGATACGTACGCAATAATGTTACTTATTGATTTAAAAGGCCTGTTTTATTTTTATTCATATTCATAAATGACAAATAATGAAAGATGACAAAATAACAATATTAAAGTATATGTAACATAATATCTTCTTCTAAGTCTAAGTCAACTTATTCTAAGTCAACCCATTTGCGATTTTTATTTATATGTAGGTATATATATATATATATATTTATATACGTATGAACTATAATATCTATATAACCTACTGTATAGTATTGGAGTTTGAATAGCGTTCAGATGTTTTGTTGATTTTATACAAGTTTTTAAAGTACGTTGTTTGTGTGATATAGGTACATACATAAATATATGTAGACCGTAGATGTTGTCACTCATGGACTGTGACAATATGATTAGAGGAATTTATTAAAAAACATAACACTATAATAATCCAGATTAACAGATTATCTATATCGACAAAATTTATATACAAAATTGATACCAATAAGCAGCAATTTGGGTAAGAATGACTGAAGTCTGCTTAATTTTAGTGAAGACATCACATTTTACAAACATAATAAAATACAGACAAACCAAGAACCTTTTTTGATACAACAACAACTGTTTCGGTTGTAAAACTCATACCTACATGAAAATTTTATAGGTATTCAAATATAAATTTAAAAATTATAAAATAACATACATATTTTCACTTATTCGTATATTTATTTTTAATCAAAACAAATTAATATGGATAAAAATATATACTATAAAATAGTCTGCTATAAACGGATTCAAATTCGAAGATTGATAATGGTCCCGCGATCTGCCAGCGAAAAAAGCGCTACAAGCTAAACGCGAGCGCCGAAACTGGTTGCGATAAATAAAACAATGGAGTGTCGCGTACGAGAGTATAAAATGGCAATCGCGAAACCAATTTGTTTACGCAAATTCTGCAGCGGGGAGAGATGAATGGGCGACCATGCCGTAATACGGTCCTGGCTGGCGGTAATGCTGGCGGTAGTGTTGTGTCTGACCCACACAATATAGATATCGGTACACATTTTGTTGATATACATATAGATAGACATACTTGTTACCATTTTACAACTAAATGGTTGAATCTTTATGAAACTTGACCTGAAGATAGTCTATAATACAGGGATGGACATACTAATGACCAATATAATTGTGTATTTACTTTTTTCTATATTACTGTGCCTTATGTTTGGCGTTCACATAACTTTAACGCAAATACAAGTTTCATATATATATCTATTAATACAAGAATCTTTTATCTCACAAAAAATAGAAGAAGAAGCGAGCTACTGCTTAAATACATGTATTAGAATTACTGTTATTCTAAAGCATCTTCAAGTCAAATTTCATTAAGATTTAGTCATAAAATGCTAACAAGAAGATAGACAGTTTCACTTTCAGATTTATCATATCAGTATGATCCGTATCTAGGTATAGAGTACGATGGTAAATTTTATTTAAATGTAAAAGTAACATTTTTAAAAATTATTTGTCGTTTTTAATCCATGTTATTTATTTGGGTTTCTAATTGAAAAATATTAACAGGATAAGAAAATATTTTCTTCTGTAATAATCCTAAGTTAATAAAGTCATTATAAATTAATAATAATAAATAAAATATAATTAAAAATAATTTGAGTTAACATAACATAATTGCGTTCCGCGAAGTATGTACAATATTCTTATTTCGATTTATTTATTCTTTTAAAATGGTGTATTGAAACATATTTCAAACATTTCCAGTTATGATAAATTCTCTATTGCAAATTGCAAATTACTCTATACTTAGATATTTATTAACTTTGTGATACACTTAGTAAATATAATACTATGTAGTCTCGGAACAATGAGAAATGAGACAGAAATATGATATATTTAGTTTTCAAAATGTTGATGGTCCATTAATGTATTAATTGCACACTTTCACAGTTAGTTTCCAAATTCCTAATAAATCAATATAGACCTTATTTATATTGTTTTAAGATCTAACAGGTTAGCATATATCAATATGTTTTCTAACACCACACATCTGTCGATATCGATGTGTGTGGTGCTATTTATTTGTCGTCACTTTATATTTGTTATCGATATTGTAGAATTTCAGTTCAGATTTATAATCTTGCCACTATGTTTTTATGTAGTTTTAGATACGTCAAAGGCTGATATTTGATTTTTAATACTAAATATTTATTTATCATTATTACGGCCACCGTTGGACGTACTCCTCCAAATATCTATCCCATATGAATGTGTTAACGTAGTTGTGCTGTGTGGACATCAAGGATGTTGTGGCTAGGATATACTCATGAATCAAAGCATAGATAGTCCTTAGAATGAAATAATTATAGTACACCTAAGAAGTGTTGTCTACGCTTGTGTCAAATGGATTTAATATGTATAACTTATCCAGTACAGTTGAATTATTTTTAATTATTATATCTTAGTAGGTTCATATATTTTAGACAATAAAATATAAACCACTTACCCTTTTATTTATAAAAAATAAAACGTTAATGTTTAATAAACCAATTGAACATTTTTATTATTATATTTCATTATTATTTTATTAAGAGATTCTTTCTAAATAATAGGTATAATGTTATGTGTTCAGTTTTATGATTAAAAAATCGGATCTATATCAGCGAAATAATTCACATAACATCCGTATACATAAAAAACAACTACAAATTTGATATAAAGACCCACTTTTTGCCAGTAAAAATACATTTCATATTTCTATTATATGTAGTATTACACCAATACATGTTAGGTTTATTTGATTCATTCTTCATTGCATACTTAAAAGAAAATTACAAATAAACGCCATAATTGTTTGAAGAGAAGACAACACACCGTGAAAGGGTTTACCGTGTGATGTACAATAACTGTCGTAAACAATACAAAATAATTTGCAAACCACGTTTTCTAAAGTAACGGTAACCGCAATAAATCAATATATGAAAGCTGTAAAAGAATTATAATATGCTCTTTTGTTCTTCTAACAGTTTTTGTGTTCTGTGGTGCATTTGCCGATCGCTCCTGTGGCAAACTTATTGACAAATAGCGGGATAAAAATAAAATGTCGAAGGAATTTAAAATTTACGACTGAGTATTTTCACTTCGACTTTTTCTGTTCGCAGCTGTTGTTCAATGGAGATATTTGTTTTGTTGGGTTTAGTTGAAACGGCGATGATAACTCAATCATCTGCTTGGATGTTTCTTGCAATATTAAAGTTTTATTTTTTTATTTAATTATTTATTCATTTCAATATTACAACACCATTACAGTACCTATATCCAAACCGGTGTTGCAACTTATTACAGTATACATATGTATGTTAATTTACTACGTAACATATTTTATTACACAATATAAACGCTATAAAAATTCTAGATATTTTTGAATGGCTTCTGTGATTTTCGGCAGACTGCAATCAATAAAATCAATATAATTTCTGATATTGTTCAATATCTCTTTTTATATTATTAAAACATATCTTTTTTAATTTATTTATACTTTGTAAAAAATTATATGTACTCAATAGTTAAGCTTTATGACACTAATTCACGCCTAAGGTACAAGGTATATGTTGACTGTTGAAGGGGTATTACAGTTATCGTTGTTTTCTTCCGATAAAATTGATGTGTATATAAGTGATAGTCTATAAATAACTGTAACATTTTAATTCAACAGTAGCGTGGGTGTGGGTCGGGCGCATTTCGAGAAGCAACCGCCCAGCAACCTGCGCAAGAGCAACTTCTTCCACTTCGTGGTGGCGTTGTACGATCGAGCTGGCCAGCCTGTCGAGATCGAGAGGACAGCCTTTATAGGATTTATTGAAAAAGATCAGGTAAGAATATCTATTCTCTAGTGTGTACCTCTCTAGGTTAAATTGCTATGCCTGAAAAGGTACATGTGTAAGTTGTATTTAGGTATGATACCAGCACTTATAAATTAATAAATAAATAGCTTACATTTACATAAATAACAGTCTTATATTATTAATTCTCTTGCTTATTTAGTGATATTTAAATCTGATAGATTTCTTCTGCCAAGTAAACATTCATCACAAAAGACATATTTTGGAAATTGTATAATATATATTACAACTTATTCTAGTAAAGGATTAGTTCGCAGTTACGTTTCTACATACTACTATAATATTAATAATTAAATTAAAAAGCTAGAGCTAAGTTAAAAACAAAAGTAAATATTTATAATATATATTAATTTACTTAAAATGATACTATATAAAAAGGTCATATGACGACATATTTTAGATTGCTTTCAATAGCACTCCATGTTATTTACTCGTTTATCCGTAACTCTTAAGACACGATCAGTATCGTGACAGTCAGGAGTCCATTAATCAGGATCAATCAGACATGATGTCTATTGTGTGTACAATAGCTTATTTACATAATACGCTGGCCTGGTGGTAAAGAATACGTAAAAAACGGTGTGTGCAATCGAAATGCCATGTAGTTTAATTATAATTTAATATAAAAAAAACAGTCATAGTTGTCACAAAACTATATAGTGTGAGATAAATACGGAAGATTTTACTAACATAATATTAAATCATATATTCAATCAAAACGGAAAACTATTTACAATAAAAGACAAGTTCCAAACTTTGTTCAATACAAGTATATATTATTTACGTTGAGTTCATTTATACATATAGGAGTACCTAATAAATGAGTAACACTCTGATGTTGGTTTATTATAGATAGGTATAAGTAGATAATATGGTACCCACATATTTATAAAATAACAGTTTTTTATTTATATATACCATGAACTACCAGTTTTTAGAAGTTTTGTCTGTCTTTCTGTGATCGTTATGTGATGTATGTACGAAGGGTACATACATCACATAAAAATCACGGCATGGAATTATTGAATTTGCACTTATGTAGTAACTTGTAATTGTCTTACTAAGGTCAAAAAATAAATTAAGGGCTCTATGTTATGGTTACGCACAAAAATAAATGAATTAGATCAAATAAAAAAACAACATCACTACATAATTTGCAAAGAAATTGCAATGTATATCACAAATTTAGAACCCATTTCGTTTGTGTGTGTGCATTCAAAAGGTTTAAATCGATATGAAAATGTATGGTCACGACTTGAAGGTGGCAGTTTGTACTATTTATATTTTTTTAATTTTGGGTAGCCATAGATTATGCAGGTTAGTGGCAAAACAGCCAGGGCGTTCACACGTTTAGTTGCTGTCACGTTAATTATTCACAAGGTAAATACCCGTGTCCGTGTTTTTACGATATCTCGTGCGTGGCTGCGTATGGTATGGTAACTAAGTACTGTCAGGACGGGGCAAAATCGATAGAATTTACATAGGCAACAAGTACATAAATTATATAATAAAAAAAATCCATTTTCTTCATCATATTAAGCTAGCCGATGATATTATTATGATAGAAATAAGGATAATGTGTCTAGTTTTAGCTCATTTGATACCTATTATAGTTGGTGTTTATGAACTTTACTGTAATATAAATTAGAGGAAATTAAGCAAACACATTATCTTTGTCCAGGCAGAATTCGTTATTTCCCATTATCGGAATAATATCAAAAAATCACAATAATACATTAACTTGGTTATTAATAAACTTATTATTTTTGTAGGAAGCCGAGGGCCAGAAGACAAACAATGGAATCCAATATAGACTGCAGTTACTGTATGCAAATGGTAAGTAAATTCATTTTTAAATAAATATATTATTATACATATATATATTCGAGATTTAAAACAATTACAGATAGAGAATACCATGCGATATAATTTTAAATATACCAATGATTTGCAGTCATCGGCCACTTCTCTCGCAAGAAAATCCTTATCTCTGGGATGAGGAATTTTGTTGTCTTCTTCCCTTACCTTCATCTGGAACTTCGGATTTTTTTTACTTAATGCCTACGTCTTAAATAGCGATATATATTAAAAAATACATTGTTCTATTTATTTCTTGAGGTTTATGCTACATATAATGTTTATCTAAAAAGGTGAATAGTTATGTATTATTAGCAATGCTCAAGTATACTCACGATATGGAAATGTTTTTGAGGATGACTTTAAACCAACCGTGCACTAAAACTTTGTTAACAAGACTAATTAATCTGCGAAAGGTTGGTAGATTTACCCTTCACTACGTTGGAATGTAATATATAAATTGTACATATGTAATATTGAGATCAACACTAGCAATCAGTACAATGATTGGATAACCGAATGATTATACTGAAGTCATACTTTTGTGTCGATGGAAATTATTAATAAATAACAAAAACATATATGTATAAATATAGATATGAATAAATAAAATCATCATAATTATTCAGAGGCACTGTCAACTCACCCATTAAGAGAGCGTCATTTTTGACGTGGCTGCATTTCAGCGAGTAAATTTGAATTCAGCAAATTTTAATGTTTTTACTCATTAGAGAAGTAGGTAGGCTTACATACAAAGTTTAAGTATTGGGTATATTTCAATTCACGGCTTTCAGATGATGTATACTGCAACTCAACGTGCAAACATGTAAAAAAATTAAACTGTTTTAAAAAATAGTAATATTAGGCTCTGAGTACTGCTGTTTTTATCTCGATGAGATTCTAAATTAAGAAACAATATTCGCCTTTATTATACTTAAAACAATAAATGTATTATTGCTTTCAGTTTATAATATAAAATTGAATCTAAATAACTACATTGTGACGTATTGTAGAATATTCCGGCGACTATAAGCAATGCACATTTGATATGCAGTGCAATAGATCAGGAATAGTGCAAATATTGCCTCGGTCGGCTATGCCATTGTGACTTTGCAATACTATTGTCGCAACGCAAACACATTTCTCTCCTATAGTGTCGTTATCAGTAATATAATGACAATCCTTTATACCTATCTATATACAACTTTCGAATGGAATATTTTAGAATAAGATTATTATTACGCAATAAAATATTTTATTCAGGGAAACTTATTTGTATTATAACAGTTTAGGTTCTAACGCCACATGGATTTTTTTTAAAGCAGGATCTTATTCTTTTAGTATCGAGATCACTTTTCTAATAGGGTTCCTAATGATAGAAACATGTTTTTTCAATCGAAAAGTGAAGAATGGAAAAATCGCGGTGAAAGATCCGTACTTTTTGGCTTATTTTTATACTATTCTTGATTAATTATTATCTTATACAATTCTCACCTTCATCATCCAAAAAAGTACAGAATACTGGTTCTAGATATTTTTAAGCGCTCTCATTGTACTGCAATAGTTCAAACTAAAATGTCAATTTCTGACAATCTAGGCGGTAGGGGGTTAATAGGATAAAGAATTGGTTCATCAACCACGTTTGATTAAATATACTTATACTCAGCGAAATGTGGGCATATTAGGTGCTGGATTTACCACGACATTGATAGTTAACAAGATCTCGGTACATTTTGACGAAGACATTCCTAAGATTTGGTTATATTTGGAATGTTATTTAGTAGATGAATCGCCAAAATGTTCCACATTTAAAAAGCGAGGAAAGTTTTTATTGGGAACAAACATAGTTTTATCATTATTGTATAATCCAACTTGTTGCTAACAAGTCGAGCACTTAGATTGAAATCGGTTTTTGTTTTGTGGAAGAGAATATCATTGTTTGTAACTGACAAATTATTACGATTCTTCTTTTATTCGGTTACTATCTATTATTATGACAAAACTGAAGTAATAATTTGAGGGACGCGGTGGTCTAACGATTTAGCATACTTGCTCCATCGAAGCCAGGTTCGATGCACCATTGATTCACGGTACAAACATTTGTATTTATGAGTATGATTGTTTGTATTTATCTGGATGTTTTCCATGTATTATTTTATAGTATTCACAAGTTTCTTAGTTTACACTGATATAAACTATTTATATCAGTGCAAACTAAGTAGAGCTTGTTAGCTCTTATGGATACTAGAATCCATAACTCAAACTCTGCTTAGTTGGGACTAGATGGCGCCGTGTGAATTGTGCTGAAATATTATATTACTTAATAATTATATTAAATATTTTTTTTGTTTGTGTAAGTTATTTATTAAGACATTAAATGACAAAAAATAAAAACAAAAACTATCATTGATGATCTGTATAGACTATATAGGTATATGTTTATTTTATATATAGAAAAAGATAGTCGCTGACGGTAAAGACTATATTCAATAAATAAGTGACATTAAAAATGATAGAAAAACTTTTTCTTCAAATAAGTATAAAAAATACAAATAAAGTTGTACAAGTAACTGTGCGTTATGTTCAATAACTAAGTAAGTACATGTATTTATTACTTTTATACTGACCATACAACACACATACAGACTACAAGGATATTGTATATCTATTTGAAATTTCATCTAAAGTACGATACTTATAATTTTAAATTAGTAACTCGTTTCAAGGACTGCATAATTCGCCATCCTATAATAGTTCTTATATCCACGAGTTACGGTTGATATAAAATAACACTATTAAATTCAATTTCTCGAAGGAGAGCACGGAGACAATGTACACTGTGCTTTGTAAACATTTGCAGTCTTGGCCTTTAGATCGCGATAATGGAAAATTGGCATAGAATACACCAGCTCTTGGACTATAAATGAAGTGACTGGACCTCTTGTATGGTTGCAAATATTAAATTAAGTATTATATAATATTACAACAGATATATGTATATAATATTATAACAGAGATTAAGTGCGTAGCAGTTTCTATGTTGATTGTTGCATGCCTAATTCTTGTTGTTAATTAAAGATTATTTATGTAATTTTTTTTATTATCATGTCGACTTTAATCGGAAGTCATACAATAAAAATAGCCCTAATTCAAATAAGCAATTTTCCTTTACTTTACTGTACTTATACAGTACTAGGAAATATAATACGAATTATGAAATTTTAAAATACAAATCCATAGCGAAAACATTTATTTACTGAATTAGAACAATTTTGGATGTTCTAAGAACTCAACCCACTTTTATACTACAACATATTTTTATAATATATAATACTATCAAAAAATTTAAAAATGTAACTCATAATTAATAACCCTCACTATTAATCTGAATTGTTTTGTATTTATAGTAAATTAATACATCTCCTACAGTAATAAAAATAAAATCGAAATCAATCCTAAAAAGTCAATGAACAATTTAAAATATCTTTTAATTTATACCTTAATACAATATCCATTAATTAACACATAAGTGTATTGTTTTAATTAGTTTAAGTCGCGTGAAAAGGCAAAAGGAAGTGTAAGGAAACAAGCGTGGGGGTAATTTCAGGGGGTAAACAAATAGTGCTACGTAGAGGCTACGGCGCCGACCGTAACCCGCCTCCGTAGCGGGCTACGATCTTTATTGCCACTATGTGCAAATGTTAATGTTTTATACGAGACGGAATTAGTGATACACTTTGTATTGAGTGTGCTGGAACAGGCGACAAAGACGTTCAGTGTTTACATCTTGTGAGAAGTAAATAATTCATCTACTTTTTTATCTGTTTGGTTTTGAAACAGTAGACAACGGGTACTCCACTAGCTTAATAGGAAGTGATATCTTTCGCTTATAACAGTGACATGGAAAGAAAATGTACAGTACAGTTCCTAATAATTACAATGTTAGGTATGCCTATAATAATAATTATAATAACAAAGATTAGTTTAATTGAAAGTTCTTAATAAATCTTGCATTTTGTTCACAGGTATTAGACAAGAACAAGATATTTTTGTTCGGCTCATAGATTCAGTCACAAAACAGGTAAGAAAAATTATTACTTCATTTATAATTGATTACCTACGTTGTTAACTTTCATGTGTACTATTAGTATGTGTCTATTAATTTTAAAAAATGTTGTTCTGAAAATTAATTTCATAAGGATGACGTCATAGAATATCTGAGTAATTAATAACAATAAAAATAACAGTACATGTAAGTGACGATTTATTTCTCGACCAAGAATATCAAACCATCGACCACTTCTAGCACCTAGAATACCATCCGGGCACACCACGTGACACTCACGTGCTTGCCACGTGGCAGATTGTCATCGCCGCCGCCCGATTAGGGCTAATCCACACGCCCCCCGATGGTCAGTAAATTGCATTGCGTTTGTGCACAATCATTACCATTATCTCGTGTTACAATTTTATATGATTCCACGTTGGTTCACGAGCGGGTGTCTGGTTCGTCTTTTGTTTGCGGCGTCACGAAATTTTAGATGAGATTGAAGTTCCGAAGGGGTTGATAAACTGTTTAGTTTAAATCTCTCCAAAAGGACATGTGTCATTAATTTGACACTAAGCGTTTCCTCTGAATGCAAGTAGATACACTCTATGTGTAATCGGTTGTGAATAAAATATGGATTTCTAATAACAATTTTTAAATAGTTGTGAAATTTCTTTGAAGAATTCAATCAGTGTCTTTTGTAGTCGTAGCTGTACAGCTGTAAAGGCAAACTAAGGCTCAGAAAAGATTGATATTGTCTTTTTAGTTATTACAGATTAGTATCTAAGTTAATTAAATAAAAGTAAAAATTAAAGTTACTAATGGTTAAATTAATATATTTAGTTAACATATAAAATAAAAACCAATTTGCATTGTCGTGGCTAATACTAATTTACATATCTGTAAAAAAGTTCAAAATAGCAGAGTTGATTTTTTTATAAAGTAAAGAATCACCAAAAAACAGCGAAGATCAAAACACAGACAGAAATTTCAATATAAAAATATTTGAAATTTTGTTAATTTAGAAACTTTTTAATTATACAAAATTTCCTAACTACACTCGGCTACTGATATGCTAACAAATATCGTTCCATTAACACATAATTTACCAAAAACATCATGAAACTTGGTCGTGCACCTCACATATATAATTTCAACACGTCCCGAGCTCTTAGTGTTGTGAAACAAGAGGCCAATTACGAAAGATTTATACGGCGAACATAATTAACTTAGGCCGAACGTTGTTAACTAAGAGTAACGGAATTGCGTGCGTTTGTTCTTTACTGCAATCGAGGATCGCTAGTTTATTAGGTTAACACTATGACACAGGAGATCATACAAAAACTACCTTTTCTTATTTTATACGAGATTTTTTTACATAATAAGAATATAATAATAAATATATGTTATATAACAAACTTAAAGGTTAACCGTCGCCTATATACTTGACCAGAATCACGGTAATCACGTGACTTCCGTTATACCACTCATGCCATTCTTGATTATAATAATCAAAATGTTGAGGGCTGGCATGACAGAGATATATACATACGAGAGTCTAATATTTTGATAATTGTGTTTTATAGTTTTTAATCCGTATTACGTTTTATATATATTAAAGCATGACACATATTATTGTTATTAATCAAAAGCTGAATTATTAAGTTGATACTTAAGTTAAATAACAAGAATGACACGCAAAGCAGTCGTTGAGTAAAATTGGCGATGGAAAGATGGCGTTTGGATAATAGAGAGTCGCGGTCGATTTAATTGTATTAAAACGTTAGGCTGAGGGCACACGGGCAATCAGCTAATGTCGTGCAGTACATGCGAACTCATCACGCAACATTCTGTTTCGGTGCTATGAAAAATATCAGAGTATCCCACAGTTGAAGTGGTTACAATTTCAAATATTTTTTATTGATACATAGAATTTGATAAGCCTGATTTTTATATATCTTATATGATGACAAAACGGTGCTTAGAGGCATGTAGAGGAATATTTTATTAAAGTCGTCTTTGTTTTACCTCAGTTTCACCTATTTCAGTAGCCAAGCATCCTTTCTAAGCTGTGTTGCTGTTATAGGACGAGAGTAGGTAGTGAAATTACTAAGTCCACCGTAATAGCAACTCATGTTAATGTGACAACTGTTATGCTGATCATGCATTATTATATACTATATAGCCGGAGTTTACCATTTACAAAAAAAATACTACATGACAAATCAGACTATAGGATGAGTATGAGCTCAGATCGGTACTGTAACATGCTGTTTTCTATAAAAAGATCTTAGGATTGTTTTGTTAAATCAGTTCATGATAAAAATATATGTATTGACTATCTTCTAGCAAACAGGTAACGCTAGGTCAGTAGCCAGAACCAAAAATTGAAAATCTGATGTACATAATAAAGATTAATATTTATTCTCAGAAATTTTAGAGTAAAATTTTTTGTATTTATACCAGTAGGTAGCGTAACCTCGAGGCCATATAATTTAAATAACCGGATTATTTGTGTTCCCATACTAAATCACCATCATATCAATATCTAAAACATCAATCTAGCCACCCTCTGTTTGGATATAGTCTTAAGATACTGACTCATGCTTCGTCGAATGAGATTTTGTAAAATCCCATAGAGGAACCCATAGTTTGAATAGAGAGGCGTGCGCGCAACACGTGCCCATGTGATTATGTTTACTTAACAATGTTCAAACAACATATTAATTTGGCTCTTTTTGTTGGGAAAGTGACTTTTATATGGTATTGTGGAGGAAAATATACACCATCATTAAATCCAGTTGTGGTATCTTTCGTATTATTGTAATTATGTAGTCAATGATTTATTGAGTAGATTAATGATACTTCTTGTAACAATTTATTTTGAAAATGTTATATTAAACCTATAGTCTCTAGATATAGTAAAAATTTATGTCTATTAATAATGAAATATATTATTTTTATAGAATAGAATAGAATAGAAAATCATTTATTCAAATAAACTTACATTGAAGCACTTTTGAATAGTCATTACATTTTTTAATCTACCGCTCGTTCGGAAAGCTGTCTCATCACAAGAACAACGAGCAAGAAACTTGCGTGTTGCTCTTTTAAATAATTTTATTATTACTTTACATTTTTAGGTTTAAGTGTGTGAATACAAACCACCAATTAGCACTAATTCTATTAAATACTCAAATAGAAATAATATTGAATATATAACCAACTGGTTAAACAATTAATAAGAGGAAATCAGTCATAGTGATTAGAGCAGACCAGTCCCTACAAGCAGCACCCGTTCACGAGTATGACGGATGAGCCAGCCATCACTGGGCTCGACCATATTTTAGGGAGCCCAATGACCCGGCCCACCACGCCGCCACAAGTCTGGACATTTTAGTGAGCATGACTACTCAAAACACTAGACTACGTCAAAGCTACTTACAATTGCTATCTGATAGTTATAGTATTCACATTTTACATAAGAATGCATGTGGCAATCAATACAAAAACCGCTACGCTTTCATATTTCTAAAATCAATCAATTAAATCAAGAAAGCAATGAGAAAATTAAATAGTCATATATTAAATAGTCCCTAACTTAAAAAGAGGGGAGTTATAAGTTTGACGTATCTGTGAATCTGTCCATGGACCAATTATGATGCCGTTTTTACCCGAGGTAGATTGTAAAAATGTTCGGTGAGGTATTTAGGTACTATTATTTACAAAAGTACTGAAGTCATAATATTAACAATAGCCATAAAACGCTGGTACAGACTGCTGGTACGGTGACTTGCTTTTGTAGGGCACATAAATCACATTTAATTTTTCTTGAATGTCTCCTAATTACAACTATTTGAAGTGCTATCTATAATTATTATATACGTCAGTGCATTTAATAAATTGTATAGTTGTAATATCTTTTACGCCAATTATCTTAACAGACGGATCACATTACTAAAATTCAGAGAACTGTAATTGTTCATGCGACTTCGTCTGTTTTCTTTGAAATAAAGGCCTGTCCGTCTTAGTGAGACAATCTGCAATAATAGATTGTATATTCATCATATTCATTTTCATTCATTCATATTAAAAATACTACATGTATTGTTGCCATCATGTTTGTGAGGAGAAATAAATAAATCATATTATTATTATTATATTCAATTAGTCGATTAGACGTGAAAAGGTAAAAAACAGACGGATGCATGCTTTCGCAATTATATCATAATATTAGTGTGGATTTGTGATTAGCTAATCAATTAATAACTAAATGAATATCAGCTGTATTTGTCGGAACTCGGAATATATTAAAATTTTACATGAGTTGAATTTGCTAAAAAACATTTGGATATTTCCACTTAATGACACCATGTGAAAGAGCTTGTATTTAATAAGAATCGTAATACTGATAAGGCAGATTCTATTTTTCAGTTATAAAATCCTAAATAAGATGCAGTTGTAGTAACATTTTCTTTAATATTTTTGTTAGAACATCTAGCAGAGAAAGAGAGTAGAGATAAAATCAGTTTTATAACACAGTACTCTTTGTTTAGTGTAGTTTTTTTTATTGCAAGACAGTATTCTAGGACGCAGTCTGGTCGCGTTGTCGCTCATGTAAATCACGCCAGTACTGTTGGCCGGGCACTGCATCTTGCCTCGCATCTACAAACTTTTTGCATTTTGTTTGCTATATAAATCTTCTAAAATGGTGTTCGCAAAGATTAGATAGAATTTTTATTTTGAGCTATTACTTTTTATACTTTTGTTCTGGCTGTTCTTATAAATAATGGTAGTATATTTTAAGTTAGTGGCCAACACAGTCTTAAGATTTTATCTATAGAAATAGAGATGACATAAATTGATAAAATTACTAGTTACGGTACGAAAAAGTTTTCATATTCTCTAAAACATAGTGTATTTTCAATTTTTTAGATCAAACTTTTGTGCCGATAATTAATATTACGAAGTCATATATACTAAAAATAATCTCACGAGGTTTGTTTGTCTCTGATATTCTTTAGTAAAGACCAATTCATGAAAATTGGTTAATTAATAGCAGTTCCTAAAATGAGAACCAATTTTATTTGATATAGAATTATTCAAGATTCAATTAGTTTATATTTCCTTTAATATATATATCCAATGTTATTAAAATTTTGATCGGATTATTTGTACAGTATAATTAAACATAATTAAAAACGAAAATAAGCATACTTAGATAAATCAGTAGCGAACCTTATTTTTTTATGACCCCACAAATTCCCCAGAGATTGAATCCCAAGCGAGGTGGGGTTCTCCAGGGGCAAGGGACACTGGTTGGCCGGTTTCTCCTGGGACACTACCGGTCTAGGGGTTAGAAACGATCTCTATAATATTTTAGTTTTTATTTCTGTTTAGTCTTAGTAACTTTTTTTGCTAACTTGTGGTGTGACTGCTCATCAAAGCACCGTAGATTGTACTACACAATGATAATATTTATAAATAAAGAACTTATTAGACGTGTTTATAAATATAAAAAAAAACTACCGAGAGTGTCGAAGCCGTAGCCCTGGGATTTACTATTTCATCTACAAAGTATTTAAAAGTGTTTTTTTTTTAACTAAATATCGTATATATTAGAGAGTATCGTGAATTTACTAAATCAATTATAAAGTTGTGATTCCATTTGCCGACAATAAAAAAAATATTTATACATATTTCTAACTGTCTCTTCAATATGCTTACAGTTAACAATTAACAAAACATAACAAATAACTTAGGTAGAATTCTAAGTTGTTTGTCATGTTTTGTCAATTCTAAGCACAAATTTGTCATATAAATGTCGTAGTTGCCGGTAATTAAGGTTGCGCTTAGTATAATAAATACATTCCAATGTATTATATATAATGTAACTGTGTTGGTGACCTAATAAATAAATAATTAAAATAAACGCAAACATAGATAAATAACCAATTGAAACCAATTGAATCCAAGAGACTGTGGTATACTCACATCGGCCAGGTTTGATTTAAGTATGTATACCTAGCGAAATATGCACATGTCAAGTTTTGCATTCACCATGACATCGACAATTGACAATGCCTCTTATTCCATCTGGAATAACTGTCGTAATTTTTTTTACATATTACATTTTTTTATATATTGTAATAAACATAATATACATAGCATTATGTATATTACAATATATAAAAAAATACATTTAGGGTAATAATTTACACATATAATGTATACACATACTATATGTATGTACACTTAATTACCTATTACAATATAGTTACATAAAATAAATATAGAAATCTCGATGGTAATTCCAGAACTCATTAGAATTACGACCACCTGATGCCCGCATCCCCTTACTTAAATCTGTTAACGCAGAAAATATCCAAAACAAAACTTCAACCCCAAGCTATTTTGGTGGCAGAGCTTAAATACTCGTATGAGCCTTGAATACATATTGTAGACAGACCCTACCAACGAATCCCGCCAAATCCTCAGCACAAAAGATGATAAGGCCCCGCTATTTCATATTCAATTAAATATTTTGTCGAGGATAAAAGAATCTATCTTTTGGATTTGGGGGATGTTCCCAGTTAATGTCTTGTAACATGTAACTATTGTGCAATTACATTGTTAGAATATCTAATGAAATGCACATACTATCTCTTTAATGTAATATAAGTGCTCCACATATGTAACTATATTTTACTATTAATAATTTTTAAATTAAGAGTTTTAGTTGTAAAAGAGATGATTTAAATAAATCAAAAAAATATTTCATTATATAATAATAGTAGTAACAATGTACAGAGTGAAATGTGGCATGTCAAGTATTGCGTTCAGCATCTTGTTGACAGTTAAAATTTCTGTTAGTTCCCAATCTGATATCCGTCGTAAATTTATATTTATGTTTGTTAATATGTACTAGTGTCCCACTTCGACTTCTCCTCAGTGTACATAATTGTGAGTTATGTATTAACATAATAATACAACTATACAATCTATGTTAATTAGCAATAATGTACCTTCAAAATAGTGAAAAAATATCTCATACTTAGTAATAAACCTTTAATAACAGTGAAAAATTTCTCAAATGGGTCTAGAGTTTACTTTTCCCATAACATTTTTTTCGTTTTTCAGTCTATGATATATACTGCTACACATCTTTTTTAAGCAAATCGTTGTGTTTTAAATAATTGAAAATGCGCTGTTAACATTTTGTTTTATGAAACTTATAAAAATATTGATCCCCTGCAAAGGTCAGGAGGAACTATACAAATGCATTATGCAAATAATGAAGTGCTATTATGCAAAGAGGGGTGCATAATATTAGCAAAAAGTAATAGCATAATGAAGACGGAACATTTTATCTTATCTGTCATCCAATTTTTTAATTAATATCTCAAATTTTGGATCTAAATTATCATAGAGAAATATTCTTTGGTTTAAACAAATTTTGAAGCTTAAAATAAAAAATTGTAAATACATAGTACTTTTTTTTTATAATGCGTCTCTTATTTAATGATATAAGTTGCAAATTCAGAAAATTCAGGAGAGAGAATCTGTAGTATTTTAGTCATGGAGCGTGTAGGGCAATGTATGGATCGTTAAAATAAAAGTATTGTTTATAAATTTTTATTTTAAGTTGTGTGCAGGTAAATGAAATGATCCACCCGCAATAACGGCATACACTAGCTGGTCAGCATTGGAGGATGATACAATGAGTATGAACTGTTAATGAAGTCAGTTAAGACTACTACTACTATTAGAATAACGTATTTACAGGAATTAACAACGAGGGTTTCCAGTGAAGACCGCGTGGAGGTCGTTTATGGAGGAGGCATATGGTTAGGAATGGCGTCACTAATTCCCATTACTGAAAATCTATTCTTCATTGTGGCAGATGTAAAATCTCGATTATATTAGATATTGATGGAAGTATAATAGAAAAGAAAGAAGAACATATTGAGTTCACTATAATTTTTGTTTCAGCCTATCGTTTACGAGGGTCAAGATAAAAATCCAGAAATGTGCAGGGTTTTACTTACGCATGAAGTTATGTGCAGGTATGTATAAAATTGAATAAGTCATCATCAGAATTTGTAATAAAATTTAATAAGTTGTTAATGTTATATGCTTATGCTCTATGTTTAGATAATGAGAGATATATAGGTAGATGTGATTTATATGTATTTTACACTAAATACAGTAACTGTCTTTAGCATCCTATCTTGAGCTACTCTGTTTCAACTTACCTCAAGCCTTTCATACAGAACTATGTACGTTAATCAAATACATAATATAGAGAAAGCTACTGGTAAATGCAAATAAACTAGATGTGTAGGATCTTGTAATTTCGTGTTATTGACAGTTCGCGAATTTACCAGACAGTAGGGTCAGTTATATGTAGTTACAAATGAAAGTGACTCCGAAAACTCAGAAAAACGTCAAATTTAAGTTTTGTTTCCTTATATTTACAATCAGACTTGAAACACGGTAATACTACAACTCTTTTTTATTGTCTATATTAGTTTCAAAGTAAGGGTGTAGAATCAGGAATATTTCTACGAATCCGATTCATACAAATGTCACTAATAATAAATTATTTATTATTACGATGACAAGAATATACTACTGAATTCTTGCTTGTCATCTTTTCTCAAACATAATGGTATACGTGGACATTATTTGCTCAGTGAATCTATGTGTTATATTTTTTATTACATTACTTTTAAATTTTTATTTCATGCATTTTCTATTGAAATGAAGTAGGTATTTTTATGTTTATATGTAAATAGTACCTAATCACTACATACACACCAACTATACGCGGTTAATAATACACTTTTTACTGATATTAGTAAATGCTTATCTATTTATTTTTCTACTTTTATGTATTAAAATATAAAATAATATTGTTAAACCTATGTACTTTGCAACATTCACATATATTCTTAAAAATAATATATGTAAAGTATAAGTCCTTTTAAATATATTAAGTTTTAAAGACTTTTATTGAAAAGTTGTTACACAGACCTACATTCTGTGAGCACCGTTCTCTCATAACTCGGCAAAAGTCTGCTAAAGCTAAAGAAGTGAATGTCCTGATTAATTTAAACATTTGTTTGGGGTGGTTTTTCCGGTTGTAACAGGAGAGTATCGTCTCGCCAGCGTCTCAATGTGTAGGTGTTTATAAACACGCGACCGCATTTGTGTGAGCAATTAAAATTTTATTCCACCTTAGTCGCAGTGTTGTTGTCTCAATCGGTCCACTATGTTTGTCCCACTTGCTCGTCTTCAGGGGAGGAGTCTCGAGGGAGTCTGTCCTTTCAATGTCTTTGCCCTTTGCGCCGAGGAACCCCTGTAGAGCGCGTGCAGTGCAGTGTATATCGTATTCGATTAACATGGATATGACACGTCCACATTAACTGTACATTTAAAAAAATATAATATTTATCTTATGAGGAGATACGAAGCAGGAAGCAGATAATTACGAATACCTATTAATTTGTCAATTTAATAATGAAAACAAAGAGATATACACAATAATTTACAATATTATTGCGAAAACGACGAGACGTAAATTTAATAAGAATTAAATAGATATATAAATAAATATTAAAACTGCAGAGGACATCGAATAACATGCATACGGAAAAATGGGATGCTCCCTTTTCTGGTCAAAAAATGCTTGAATATTAATAATATTAAATTGGTAATAGTATCATAAAATAGTTGAGTTATTTTTCAAATTTGTAAGTAAATACATTTATAATAAAAGAAAGACATATTTCTTTTAATACTTCGGTATATGAAGTCATATCTACTATAAATCGGTCAGATGAGTCATACGCATTTCTGAAACCCTGCGATACATTTACTAAGAACGTACTCGTAATGTTATCTGTCTTAGGAATATATTGACTTTTCTACAAGAAATATCCCTTAAAGTTACAGACACTTCACATTTTTAATCTTAAATCTATTTCGATATGTAAGTACGATTCTCCATGATATTCAGTGTTTTTTTTTTCAGTCGGTGTTGTGACAAGAAAAGCTGCGGTAACCGAAACGAAACGCCTTCAGATCCTGTTATAATTGACAGGTGAGTAAATTATAATAATATTTTGACTGAAATAATTAGTACCGAGTGGAACAAACTCTTTTCATTTGTTCCACGGATATTAAGTTTTATTATTGGTGATGATACAATACCATTATTTATACCTAATATTAAAATGACTTCAGTTGGATAACAATGAGTGATTAAATTATATATTTTTTATGTAAATTAAAGAAATAATATAAATAACAAACAAATTGACATGGAACATGCCAACCGACGCGAATGGCCCCATATAAATCACTGCATGAATTTTTCACTTAAAAAGGCGTCACGCCTTAGTACCCTGTAATTTCACTGCCATATCACTTCAAACTAGACAACAGTTTTTACAGTTATGTAATGCCACTAATAGATGAATCAGATGTACTCGCGCAGACGAAATTTTATAAAATCTAGCACGCTGGAAATATTTACTAAATGTGTCTTGAAGATTCGTGTTAGAATTTGGAATGTCATAAAGACTAAACGACAAACGATGTACAAAACGATATAAAGGCATTAAAGTTTTCTATCATTTAAAAAAATAACTCCAGTTGTTGAAAATTGGTATACTTCTATTTTCGATTTATCAACCACAATGACTGTTTTCAAAAGTTTTCACAGCAAATGCATTTTCGCATTATACCTACACTAACTTTAGATTACGCGTTGCCATTTTTGTTTGCGGCTCTGATAAAGGAGGAGTTAATGTATTTGTTTATGGTATTACTGTATTTATTTGTAGTCTTTATACTGATAGTGAAGATAATGTTGATTTTGTTTAATAAGCTGAACCTCGGTTCAGCTTATTCTAATATATAGGGCTCCTTCAATAGATTCCATTTACACATACACAATAGGTTCCATGCCCTTATATCATCCTCCCACCTCTTTTTCTGTCACCCTCGTTTCCTTTTTTGATTTCTTGGATACTAATCTAAGACATCCTTGGTCCATTTCTATAGTATTATTTACTGTAAGTACGTATTAAATTTAGTTTTATTATACAACGTCTGTAATCATTTAAACCAATAACTTAAAATATTTTTGTTAGTTTAGTTTCGTATTTGTCAACTGCAGTGCAGGGATGGTAAACACAAAATATTGTCTTGCTTGAGAGACATCCATATACTATATGTATAAATGAATTTGACTTAGAATATTCAAGGAAAATGTTTAAAAAAAGTATACTTTGTTCATTGATAGATACATCGATACATTCTCTGTAAGTATAGTTGATTTTGTGAATGTAATACAAAGAAACTATTTATTTATATCCATACCATAGAACTTTGATTAGAATCACACAAATAAAAACAGAACAAAATGAGTGCCACAAATTAGCTCTACTATTCCCGACCTCCCGCTGACGTATTCATTTATTCTCGATATTGAACAATTCTTTCGGGAGGAACCCGGGCTAATCAGGCTGACAAATACTAAAATTTCAATAGAACACCGCTCGAACTATTGATAACTGGGGAGGTGGGCATGTCGTAGTGCTGTGATGCTTTTATATTCGATCCTTTTTCGGAAATTCAATAGAGATAGGCGTATTTCATTGAGGATACCGTTAATTTCAATTTAGGGCTGATGAATTTAATATAATAAACATGCTGATAGATCATATACGCTTCATCTTTAATACATATGAATAAAATAAAGAACGCTGCCTCGTATGTCTGTAGAAATAATTTGACTAAAATAACTAAATGCCAACAGACTATGACTAGTGACTACCTACTTGACAAAGGTTTAGTTAAGTAATATAATGTTATACTACCCATTCCAAATCGGGTCGGTCACTAGTTTATTTCTAAATACAACAATTATCGTATGCCAATTTAATTTCACACAAAATCTTAAACATTTATTATTAGAGGTGTCTCTAGGCAAGTTTTTTGATCGTATTTCTTGTGATGAGCCTTCCGAACGAGCTGTAGAATAAAAAAAATGTGTCTATTCAAATATGCTTATAATAAATTTTCTAAATAAAGAGTATTTCTATTACTATTTTATTAATTTTCCTAAATATAATGATAAAGACATATAGTCAAAGTGCATTACCTAATGGGGTACCCTAACATCTCTATGAAAGGTATGCGTGACTACGAGCCCTTTATGTAGCCAATTTACCTACTCATTCCAAATTTAACTTACTATAGGTTAGATCAATTAGCTTAAAATACCGTCACGTAAGAACTGTTAGTTACGCTTGGGTTAGTTCATTGTAATAAGATTCTCCTTTCAACCTTAAACTCCTATTTATCCGTAAGTTCTATGTAATTTGTTAAAGTTGGTAAATATATTATTGTATTTATTATTTTTATCAAATTAGTGTATATTGGTAATGCATATTTATATGTTCTTCTATAAATTTAAACATGAAATATACGATACTAGTATTATCATATTATAAAATTTATAGGAGACTGGACCTTAAACTAGATCGGAGATCTGTATCTTAGGAATCAAGGCCTACCCATATGCACTGTGGTGTCTAAAATAAGTTTGAAAGCAAATTAAATTTAAAAAAACATAAGATAATACAATATATATATTAATGTAGTTAATACAGCCTTAAAAATAATATTTTAATGGTAATTAAAAAATAATATTTATTGGAGTTTAATATGGAGAGGCCGAGAGAGGTCACTATTATTTGTATTGAGGCCGATTTCCAAAATAACGTCTATTAAACGCTAAAGTTTAAAAATGCAGATCACGGTATGGTCGATACGGTATTTAAATATATTACAAAATGAAACATATGTCTTTTATTGTCATTCTATCATTTATACACCAACCCTACCTAACCAACGGGCTTTGTAATTCGCTCGATTCAAATTTTTTACCTTGAAAACAAAAAAAAAATCGACATCGGCCTTTGTGATCCAACTTTCCTTTGCTTTCGGCGGGGCATGAAGTTGATCGTGGAAATTTTCTAACTGTGAATAAACTTGTGATTTTTCAACGTTTGATGTAAATTAAGGCCCGTTTTGCATGCAGAGTTCATTATTAGACGTTGATGTGTAAAATTGCCTTTACGGCCTCTGTTAGATTAATATTCATATATTTTTTGTTGTTTTGGAATTGTAACAAGTACTTTGTTATGATGTTAAGAGGAACAACAGTATAATGTGGATACCATAAGACAGGACAGAATAAGGCATTTTTTCTTCTTGTTTTCATGAATTATAATTGACATTTAATCGCTACTAAAATCTTAAAAAGAACAAAAACTGAATTACGAAATTATTTTATCTTTATTAATCATAATAAAGACTCCTTTATAAAATTGAAAGACTAAGCTTTTAATTTTGTTGATCCTTAATTTCTTTATGAAAATGTTTCATAAAAATAAAGAGTTCTTGCAGAAATGTATAAAAAAAATACGTTTGTGAGTGACTATGAAATAATAACATACACGACTAAATATTATTTTATCATTATAACGAAAATAGATTTATGGATATAAGAACATAATATAAACTTGTCGCTTGTGTATTCAACAATAATCCATCAGTCCATATAACCCGGCCTCACCCATGTAGGTACGTACACTCGCGAACTAATGTGATAATTGAAATTGTGCAATTGCGTGCGAAACGCGCCCAGCACCGTATTCATTACTATATTCTGTTTTTTTGCAATTTGTTTTTTTATTTTGTGTTTCATTGTCGTCGCTACTGAAATGATACGTTTTTTGATGGTTCAATTAATTTATGGTGGCGTCGTGAGCACTCATTCAGTAAATGGATGAGTGAAGTATATTGCACTTTTATAAGTTAATGTCAATAATTTAGTTACATGTTAGTATAAATTATTTACATTTATGGCTTGACATTGTCATCGTCTTTTTTCGCCGAATTATCCAGATTTTCTACTTTATGGATATATGACTGTAAACTGTTATAGAAGACGGTCCTGAGCCACTCTCAACTGAAGACTTGTGATGATTTGTATAAAATGATTATAACATTAAGTATCCCCCATTAAGCAAAAGATTAAGTACATAGTAATATGAATTTAAACATATTCTATGTTTGTCAGCATGAGGTTTGTTCTAAAGAATCTTTTCTTCCTATTTATGACAGATTTTATGAGTTCATTTTATACAACTTAAAAATCTCTTATGGTTCCATTATTGGTCAGATGACCTATCCCAATAAGACAAAAATTTTGTTCACGTTTACTATTTTATTTGGACCTTACTCTCGTTCTCTTGCACTAACTTATTTGTTCTTTATTGTTATCTTAGTCACAACTTATGGTATCTTTGAGATGCAAGTAAACTTCAGGCTGTACGTGCGTTTATTAAAATGGATTGAGAATGTCGTCGTAAATTTATTTATAATCGATAAATCCAATGACTTGAACTGGAACTTGTTCACGTGTATTTACAAATTAAGTGTGTTTGGTTTAAAAAGTTTGGAAATGGTATAAACTCACAATGGAATTATAAAACGCGTTCGAGTATCGATAACACGACGAATAATTGACGTAACAGTAAAAGCAGGCAACAATCCAGAACCCTTCGAATCAGCAGCAATTTGTTAAGTGGATTTTTGCCCGAGACACGCTCGCGGCTCGTTGCGCTTCTGTACACAATTTCATTATCTCTGCCCGCCTGCCCGCGGCCGACTCTACTATTAACTTATGCGATGCTGTGTTCATCTATGGAAATTCGAATTTATATTTTTGAAATTACTATTATTAATTATATTCTATATTTGAATGATATTAAATCTTTCTTTTTCCCGAAATTTATGGATTGCCAGTTTATCACCAAAAATCGTAAATAAAACTACCGCATTAACCAAGGCCAGTTTATCAGATGGACTTGAAAATGAAAATGAATTTAAAGCAACGGATCCCCATGCAATCACTTAAGAATTATATGAAGCGTAATGATTAAGATGTTTTGTCGTGTTTGAATTTAAAGCGATCCACTTGGGTCCGAGGGTGCGTTGTTACTCCCACTAAAGTTGATTGTTGTG